AATTAACTATGTCTGGAATCTTGGGGATCACTCAGTAGTGCGGTGCAAAGATTGGGAGCGGGGTATTGGGGGGGGGGGAGCTGGGGGGAGTCTGGGAACAAAACAGACACACAACCCTTACTTATTATGCCGTCCCTCTTTGAGTCTGTACGTTAAGCTACAGCCCCCGGCGAGTGAGTCACTGCCTGAGAGTCTGACCGGCATCAGTGTGAGATCGGTACGGCAGACAGTGTCTGCAGGCTTGCTTACATGTGTATCCGTGTGCCATATGAATGTCCCATTCATGTTTTCTTCATCCAATAGCAACGAATCAAGAGCCAGTCTCATTCAGTCCTGTAACAGTTATTTTTTAGCACTTACTGGGGAGACACAAATTCTACCGAAGGTAGCGCTAATGCTAATGGCAATGAGACCCTAGAAATAGCCCGTCCCAGTCCAGAGAACCCAGGCATCATGGTGCGTGACAGTAGATTGCCACAGAGAGTTTGTGAAGGTTCACGGTGTTTCTAGGCCCACCTGCACTCGCGGATTCTTTTTAAATTTAATTTTATCGCACCTTCTAAAGGGGGACACGGTTCCCCTTTAAGAAACACCAACCTGCTCCACTCACACACTGGAAAGGCCTTTTGTGCCACTTCAAATACACAGAGCACTGTAGCCAAAACACATTCTTTTGTCAGTTTCTTGGCTATGGCGAGCGTACCGTTCCCATCGCACACAGTCCGAGCCGCTTTAATGGAACAGGAGCAGCCTGTTCTGTTTGGAGGGGGCCCAGAGTCGGGCTTAATGTCCGTCGCCTCTGCTTTGGCTCCGCCTTGGCCTGCTAGGCATGGGACAGGGGTTCGGATTGGACGGGGTGGTGGGCCGTGGACGACGCGCGTTGCGGCCAGGATGGCGTTCTTCACACAGAGAAAAAAAAGTTACGCCCGATCATAGGCCATGATGGTTTTACAAAGGCGGGGGCAGCAGTGGTGGGAGGTTGACACTAAACCCAAAGTGTCATAACAGAATAGACAACCCCCAACAGCTGCAGAGAAACATCTGTCCACATCTGTCAGCAGGGCTGATGCTGTCTGGCTGCCACAACCGGGGAATGGGGGTAAACGGGAGGGGGCAGACAATAGTTCTATTCTTTAAGGGAGGCGGGGGGGGACACTGGATTTGTGCGGCTTCATCTTCAGCCCATTGCCGCTGGGGTGCCATAAGGCATTCACAAATGCTGCCAGGGAACGAATCCTAACGACGGTACCTTTGGTACCGATTTCGTATCGCTGCATTTGTATTGCGAAATTTTGCCCTTGGAAGACCGACGCCAGATGCGACCGCATCTGCACATGTTTGTGTTGCCAGGAGACATGTTTCGGTCCCATGCACACAGTTTTCTGGACAATCGCTCTCATTGCGGTGTTACCAAAATTACGCCAGCCAAGCTTTCCAGTACTGATTTATGTAGGCACGGCCCCACACCCAGTCCACGCCTTTGTAATCCGAACCACAATTTCCTCCTCCGGGGTCATGTAGCAGGTAACGCTACCCTGTCCTTATAGACGGAGAGTCGCACAAGTACCTGGGGGGGGGGGGGGGGATGGGTCACGTGTCACGGCCCTTGAAAACTGTAGGTCAAGACATACTGCCGGTCTCAAATGGGGAGTAGGAAACGCAAGCTGCGTTATGGCCGACGCAGTCTGGCGCGTCCTGGTGCGTGGGATTGACTTTAAATAAGCAGCACCGATAATCCTGATGGGAAGCTATCAAGAACCTCATGAAATATAAATAATGTACCTTTCATTTGCCCACATGACCTTGGCCAACGCCTTAGTGGGCTATAAATTTGAGATTTAAAATTCCACAGCTGACATACATTACAGAACTTGTTGTCACCAGGAAAAAAGGCCTGTATCCTTAATGTAGTTAGTCAGGGTGGGAAAAAGAAAAGCTGGTCGCCGGGCCCTGCACCCCCCCCCCCCCCCCGGCCCACTGCCTTCGTGAGACTCTGCCCCCACCCCCCAAAAAGGAACCAGAGTGGGAGCTAGGGTGGTTTTGTGGCCTAAATAAAAGACTTAAAGTAATCAGAAGGCCATTGTGTGAGGAGGGGGTGCAGTGTACCAAACAGACTAGCTCTCAGGCCCTAGTCTCTCACCGACCGACAGGCTTCAGCTGTCGTCCTGGCAACGGTAACCCAGGGCTGGGGAGCGGAGGGGTGGGGGGTTTGTGGAGGACACTTTGAGCTCTTAAAAAAAAAGTCAGTTTTCTCGCTGCCGCACTTAATTGTAATCTTCAGCCCCGCCGAAGTGAAACTGAACGAAAGCAAGAAATTTCCAGAGGGCTGTACGACGGTGTGTCTTTTTTTTTTTTTGTTTTTTTGTTCATAACCCACAGCCTCCATTGACTAACAATGGCAGCTGACAGACAATAGAGGCATTGAAATCCCCACTGGGGGATATCTAGTGCTCACCCATGGCCTGAATGTTAACTACATAAGCACAAAGGCGAGAAACCCTTACTGTAAAACGTGTCTACCGCCGTAAAACAAAGCCAGAGACCATTTTTGATGCAAAGGCAAACTGAGAAATTCTTATGGGAATCGTGGCTCTCTGGCTGAGGGGGATTTTCAGTGGTCTGTCTGTCCGGCAGTCTAGTGCAGTGACCATGGTTGGCCCAACAGACTGGGAACTTTTTTCTCTATGCGGAAGAACTGCTGGTAGCAGGCGTCCTCCATACTCTGTCCTCTGAGCGGCAGATATGCGTTTCTAGAAAACCGCTATGAAAGAGGTCCAGACCAGGCCAAAGCGCATCTTGTAACTTTCTGGGTCGGAGTCTACTGGGCTCTCCTTGGGCAAACCCTACTGAGTGACCTGTGACTGACCTCCAGGAGGACAGAAATGACCGGCCAGCTCCCCTGATGATGATTGCAGCCAGTCTGATGGGCGGACCAGCAGAACACTCTCCAGACTCCCCAAGGCTGTTGATGGTATATGCCATAAGAGTAGTGTCTACAAATGCTGGGGGAGTGAGGCATCATTTCTTAACCCCTCCTGCTGGTTTCTCTTTCTTTACTCTCACTTTCATCCCACCTTTTCACTCACCCCTTTTTTCCTTCTCTGGTCAGCTGTACTCTTGGGTCTTCGGAGTTATTTGGCATCCGCACAGCTTGGCCAGAGGTCTTTGAACGTTCCTGTCACTAATCTGATGGGTCTGTGGTCCTGGCTTAGAGCGAAGGGTCACTCTAGGCGTAACAGCGGAGCAAAGCTCTTCGCATGGACACCGTAATGGTTCCCATCTAGGTGTGGTGTTTGCGCTCTCTTCCATGACACATCGCATCAAAAAAAAACAAGAGTCAAGAAACGGCTAAGAGTTTCTGGCGTTTTGGGTTTCCCCTAAAACCACCCAGCCAGAACATAGACTCCCTAAAAAACAAAGCAAGAAAACCAAAAAATAAATTAAAAGAATATGGCGATGGAGAGAGTCCAATTGCCAAATAAACAGATCTAACATCGTCTCTGGGTAGTCCAGGGCAGCTCCAAGGCTGTGGAGGATAATTACAGTCAAATGTTTCTTCAGATGCTAGTTTTATGCAGA